CATTCTTTGCATGTGCCTAGTACCTTATGTGGGACATATGCACATGCAGTAGTTTAGCGATTCGATTCAAAATGGCCGACTGGCAGCCATCTTGTTTTTTGAAAATGTTGTATTTTGGACATGCTTTGTCAGTTGTCATTCAAACTTGGTACATAGATTATACATGTTAGGATACATGTCCATGATGGATCAAAGATGGTCGACTGGCAGGCATCTTGTTTTTGTTTTTTTATGCGGTATCTTGGACGGTGCTCTGTCAGTTTTCATTCAAATTTGGCACATACATGTACTTTATACATGTTAGGATGCATGTCCATGACAATTTGTTTCAAAATCTGGTCAAGGATGGCCGATTGACAGCCATCTGACTTTTTGGCCTTACTACTATATTTCCACAATTTATGTACCATTTTCATTCGTATTTGACACATACATCATACATATCAGTGTGTTTCATAATCAGATCAAAGATGGCTGAATAACGATTGTTTTTATTTTGGCCATATTACTATGACACGAAACACGCGTTTTGATGTAAATAAACAATCTGTTGTATACGCCACTTGGAACTCAAGTTTCAAGGACACGCTCACGACAACCCCTCCGCTTTAATATGACGAGCACAAAGAGAACTTAACAGGGACTGTGTCATTTTCAATGACTTGTTTTACTAAATTTTCTTAAAGTTAATAAAAAAAAACATAGCGAAACTATGATATCCCTGAATGCATGAATGTCCCATTTAATTTGACTATGCTCATTTTGATTGGGAATCAATTTCCCCTTTAATTGATTACCGTACTCGACCGCGTTAGCGCCCAGGGGCCTCAACTCAGAAAATCACGATTTTTTAGGGGTGGGCGCTTACCCGAGCACCCCCTTCAAAAAAGAGTGCAAATGAAAAATTTGATTCATCAAGTGACAGATTACGTCTTTGAGGGGAATCAAATTACGAAATTAGTTGAGTCGTCATTGATTTTCACAACGAAGAAACAGAAATGATCACAAAAAATATGCACATTTTATTACAATATTAATTACGTACCACCAGAATTTACAAAATTAAAAACATTTGAGTCTGTTGAAACACAGTCAAAGTCAAAATTGTCATATTATCTCCACTGACGAAGGTGTTGGATCGTACGCAAACTCTCACTTTCCGCCAATGATGCATTTGCAGATTTCACCTGCTGTGTTGTACTGACGCAATTCTTCGGAAATTCCCGAAGACTTTCCGGTAACGCAATGCGGAAGTGAATTATCGATGTCGAAGTACAATCTGTTGGAATTGATTTCAGCGAATAAACGACATGGTTTTTATCCAAAAAACTAGTAATTAGCCATTTTTGAGAGGTAAACTGAATATGGCATGAAATATTTACCGCATTTCACTTGTATTAACAGGTCATTGTCGCAGCGTAGTTTACGCACGGTTACCGTGTTCTACGCATTCACAACATGTTCACAGCGGTCGATATCCACGCTGTATCATATAAAAACGATTACCAAGATTCGTTCGCAAGACCAAGTTTTAAATTAGTTGCATTTTGAAGGGGTGGGCGCTTTGCCGAATGTGACCCCAAATATAAAAATTGCGCAAAAGTGGGAGGTTGGGCACTTGCCCCGGGCATGGGCACTAACGCGGTCGAGTACGGTAATATGAAAATTAATAAAACTTCAGAATTAATTTTTTCATTTAATTGATTAATACAAAAATTAAAACTCAAGAATCGTTGCCCTGCAATGCATGTGAAATTCCTTGTACATATCAATATGTATATTACATACAAAGCTATTTGATAAATTTATTTTTATGTAGATTGCTCAAATATACATAAATTAGAATGTAGCAATATTGTCAAAATAGATATTCAGGTGCCATAGTGAAATGCAAAGCCTATGTTCTATATTCACTTTTGTGCAAAACACATTGTGACACATAGAAGGTGGGCTGCGTGACGACCCTAGTGTGAAGGGTTATCTTCTTAACAGATTAAATGCATTATACAATTTCTTTTTGGGATATTGACTTGTTTTGTAAAATTCGTTCTTAGTTTCACCCTATTGCGTAGTATATTCTGGGCTCTAAACTTAAATGAACACTGCTTAGTAAGAGCAGTATGAAGGTTTTTATCAAACCTTTGGGTAAAATAAATCACTTTCTAAGCTGCTGATGTAATCCTGTACATTTCATTTGACTCCCTTGATCATTGTCTCAGTGCCTGTAAACCTTTCTATTATTCTCCACTTGAATTAAGAGTTAAATTATTGATATTGATGGTAATAATGAATCTGCATAATTTAGCAACGTAATAAAAATGTCCCACACCATAGTATAATTGCTTGTTCCGGCATGGAGGCATGCTGTTACCACAGTGTAATTGCTTGTCAGCATTAAGGCATGCATTGTCTCTTCAAACCTTTCTTCATGTGTGAAAGCAACTTATTACGCAGTCTAGTTTTATTGTGTGCTACCTGTGCATGTGGCTGTGTCCTTAGTATTTTGAGAATAAGCTAGGGGTGCTTTGAAATCTATTGATCCAAGCCCCCTAGTAAAATGAACTTTGCTGACCTGTCTGCTGGCGACGAAATCTATGCATTATGTATGGGATTCACATACTTTGAAAGATAATTTTATCACAAACTAAAATAATTATGAACAGATAATAAAATGTGAGCTAAAATGAAAATATGGATTTGTCTATAACATCTTTAAAGCTATAAATGTACGTGTATTGCACTCCATTTTCTATTTTTGAAAATATTTAAATTTACATAAATGTCATTAAAATTATGATACATTATATTATACTACTACCAAGACTATTGTGTAGATTTTTTTTGTTCGTCATCTCTGGTTATTGTACATTGAATAAATGAAACATGCTTAAATTGCCATGTTTCCAGCTGCCCTGGAGACAGTTGCTTCAATTACAGCATTAGAGGGCTGGTTCACTTGAATGTTTTCAAGACTGCTTACCTCTGATGAAATTCATAACCTGTCCATATTTTACTAATTGCTGACAATTGAGGAAGGCTTTGATGCACCGGGAAAGCTTTCTGTAACTATGCTAACTGATTTTGTAAATCAGGAGCTTTCATCATGATTATTTCACAAAAACGAGCAATGACATTTTGCCTGCAAATCACAAACGTTTCTGTGCTATGAAATTTTGTGGTTTTTCAGATTTGTATTATGAAATCACAGTAATGGATAATTAAAACACTCTTTACTGTCTTCTAGCCTTTATGTATGGCTGATTTAACTATTTGGGAGAAAATTTAAATTACGTCTGTGATGAGGCATGTTTAATAAAAAAGAATTTTAAATTTATTGTTACCTTACGTCTGATCCTCAATTTTGGCATTTTTATTATTAATTGCTTAATTAATTAATCTTGCTTACTCGGTAATAAGTTTTAGTGGGTTGCTGGTATAACCATACATTTTTGTTGAGAACCTTTTATCGTATTTATCCAATACTCTGTATACCCTGGGCAATTATTTGGACTGATCAGATTTTTGGGAGAAAACTAGCATTAAATGTTGTTTAGATTTTTCCAAGAAGAAAAATATGAGATATGATTTCAACAAATTTGAATTTGGCTTTTACCAAACTATATTGTTTGTAATGCCAAATGTTATAATATGCATTTTGCAACTGATGATACAAATGACAATTTATGAGTATAACCACTTTTGATTGGTGGTGGAACTACTGTAAAACCGCAATTCAATGATTTTATGTCATTTCTGAAGAAAAGATTCCACTAAGTGTGCTGCAAAATTTTGCGGAATCCTCAAAATGTTTCTTGCCAAATTAAAGCATTTGTTGTATAAGGTATAGTTACTATTGTATGTCATTTACTCATTAATAATTTACTACATATATCATGATGCTGAAAGCTTTCTTCTTTCTTCAGTACCGCTCATCCAACTGAATTCATGTAGTTGATCTAATCTGTTGTGAAGTGTGAGCAGTTTGCAATATGCATTTTTAATAAGGTTTCATGTCTAAAATGTGATTTACAATATCTTTGATATACAAGTGTGGCTATTTACAATCAGCCTAAATAAATTAATTTTGTATTTTCTGTTAATTTGTGTTATGTACTGTTATAGATTTTTTTTAGAGCACAAGTGTCTACACATAAAAAAAACAACACATTTTGTTTCTGAAGTGCTGCCTATGCCAACAAACTTGCAGCTATACCTTAACTGAATACAAATCATTTACTACAAAGGGAAAGTAAATCTTGTGCAGATTTGGATGAGATGAGCTTGTCAATTTCTTTAAAAATGGGTATGGTAGGGTTAGCGGAAACACAATTTATTTTACTTTGCTGCAAACTGTGTACAAATGTGGCCGTTTACAATCAGCATAATGTTTACAAGTGGTCATTTAAAAATTGATTAAAAAGAAAGATATACTGGAATACTAGTGATTAGTGATCATTTGCCTGCAATGAACATGTGTGTTATGGAAATCAGGATCGCAATAATGAAATCTCAAGAGAATTTTTGATACTAGTATCTGTATAAGATCCATTAATATTCCTCTCTTCTATGCTTTCATCAATAGCATGCATGTTTATTTTCTTTATTTTTGTTTTGTTTTACCAGGGTTCATACTGGGCAATAGATAACAACCCACCAGATGATCCTCTACCATCAAGAAACAAAGCCAAAAAGCCAAGAATTGGTTGCAGTCGTGGAGGAGTGAGTTTTCATTTATTTCTTTTTCCCCCTGAAGACATAGCATTCATATCGCTCCCATTAACGAACACAGGTGCTTGCAAGATGACAGTAACAATGGATGATGGGTGTGACCTCAAGTTGACCTTATTGTGCAAAGGATTATGGGATTCAAGGATCCTTGACCAGGTGTGCCCCTTTCTGCCAGGGCTGTATGTTGAGCACCATAACACTTTTATGTATTTTTGGACCAAATTTATACATTTCATCTTTGGTTACCAATTTTTAAAATTAGTTTGACTATATGTGTTTAAAAAAGGTTGAACTAAAAATGGTATCCTGGATTGATCATTAAAAATACAAAGTGCCGTAGGGTTGAGGCATATACCTTTTGTTGTATCGTATGTATCCACTTTTTACCTCCATTGTCGATCCTTCAACACAATTGACATCTATGCTATATTCCTGTCTGCACTTGAATTACAAGTAATTAATAATTAGCCTGGATTGAAAATTGAGAAAGTCTTTGTTTTGTGTTGATGTGTCTATCTACTGTGAGACGGATATGACAAAATTAAGAGAACATATTGTTTTTTAAGATGGTGGGTTGCAGTGACTTTTGCAAAATGATTTTCTTATAAATTCCTTTATATTCTCAAATCATGAATATTGTTATTATATTATTTACATGTACCATAGTTGGAGAAAAAAATTTTCAGCCATACTTGTTAACATTAGTGCCAGAATCATCACATTCACCAGAATTCCTTAGAAAAATACATTGGGAGGACTTTTTTAACAGACAATTGTTTAGCTGGGGAGGTTTTTTTTTTTTTTTTTTTAAAGAAAACTAGTTTTCAGATATAACAGTGGACCTTGTATGAACTCTTTTCTAAATGTTATTGTGTGAAACCTATTGTTTATTGTTCTTGCCAAATCACATTGCTGTGTGATTTCTTTCAATCATGCAATCTTAATTCAGAATGTAAGAATTAAAATTCTATTTTGGTATGAACCCCTGAGAGTGTGTGTATGCATAGAACGTGCAGAATATTAACAACGAGAAGACTCATCCCTTCTGATTAACTGTAAGCGATAAAGTTTTTGAAATGAGACTTAGATTCGTATTTCCCATCCCCCTGTTGTTACATTTCATATCAATGCCGGTACAACTGGATCTAATTGTATATATTAAAAGTAACCTTCCACCTGCGGTTTCATTACCAATTTTTGTTTCATTCCCATGACAATCTGTCATATGTTACTGCTTAAGGAAAAATAAATGATTTCAGACATTTTTCTCCCAGCTCTCTGAGAGTCTGAAAGCATAGACTGGTAATTACCTATATGTTCATGTATTATGAAATTATGCGTTAACCTGTAATGTTTTGTGCTTCAACTTGGCAAACTTGTTTCTTCCATTGGTTTCTTTGCTGCAAATAATGCATAAAGTAGATTGAAAAATAGGTTATACTGAAAAATTACCAAGGCCTATGATCAACTCTCATCACTTTGTATCAGATGTATTGTCTTGAATGAATGAAGGAATGAAGTGCAATGCATTTACTGCTCCATCACAGTGTTGAAAGTCTCAAAAAAAGAAGCTGATTCTATTATACCTTGGTAATTGGCAGTATTGGAAATGTTGACAAAGCTGACTACCGTACTCACTTTAAATGTATTTATATACTATTTCAAAACCATCAGGTCCAATTCAAAATGGCCAAATACTGTGAAATACTTTATTTTTGCTGAAGGAATATTTCAGTGAAAATAAAATCCAGCCAATATACCTTTTTTCCTATTTTTTACATTCAACTCACCAAAAATCAGTGAAAATAAAGTATTTTACAGTAGCAGCTATTCTAATGTTAAAATTTCATTAAAACCAAGCATTCTGTCGCTTCAGAACATGATCCCTGTTGTACTCAAACACATTTTATTTAAAATTGGTACATACATTAAATACACAACTACTCTATATAATGAATATTTTAGGTGATCCCCCTCAGATGCTTGTACATTCTAATGATCATGTGGTTTCATCCGTGATTACCCCAATTCGCATTACTCACTGGTACAAGGTAAAGTGTGTGTAGTCGTACATGTATTTATGATGATATGGGCAAAGTAACTATATTGAAATTGTGGTGTAAAACCTATTCTATTAGGAGAAAACAGACAGAATCAGGCATAGCACTAAATAATTAAAACTTTGAGGTCAACTTAGCTTTCACTCTGGATTATTAAAATTCCTATCTTTTTTCTTTTTTAATATAATTATTATTGTTTATAATCCCCCCAAAAAATGATGGTACATCTTTGTTGATTTTAGACTTTCAGAAACCCCTCCAACAGCAAAACAAGGCAATAGTGGCTCGTTGATACTCATACAATGTAGTTTTGTTTTTCTGATTTGACTCAAAGTGGCCGACTGGCAGCCATTTTCTTTCAATGCATGCAGTTCTTTATCTGTATCTCTGAGATGTCCTGACATTACATACTTCTTTAACCAAATAACTTGCAGGGACTATGTGATGAAATTACTCGTTATATTATCACCTATATGCCAGCAGACTGTGGTCTAATCGAGCACAGCTTCATTGATGCATGTTTAATACCTGATGGAATTGGTAGCCAGTGGTAGCATGTACTGCTGGCAGCTAGGAACTTATATAGAATGTAACTATCATTAAATTATAGTTTGGATAGGTTCAATATAATTAAGAGACTATTCACATCCTGAGGGGTGTACAGTTTCCCTCTGGTACAAAATAAATTGCTTGTCATAATACGATATAGCTAGTAACTGTTTTGAGTTAAATGTATTAGATGTGCGTGCATTGTTCATCATTAGCAGTCATTTCCCTGTAAAGTTTCTGGAAATGTAGGCTCTTCAAACTTTGAATACCATGGGAAGAGGGAGGGGGGAAGGGGGTGGGGTACATTGAATAAAAATGTTTACACTGGATTAGTTATTTTGTAAATGTGCGAAACAGTTGGAACGAGATAGGTGCAATTGTTTATAGTCATTCTTGAAATAGTAGTCGCATGTACAACTTCTTCATAATGATGTAATATTATGATAAACACCAAGAAAAGAATGCTGTAAAACACATTGAAATAACTACATGTCATTTTAGCGAATATGACTCAATGCTCGAATTAACAATTTGTTAATTTAGCTAAAATGCCAACAATCTCATTAAGGGAATATACTTTATTCTAAATTAGCGACATCTTGAATTAGCGAAATTGAAGATTAGCGAAATCAGCTAAAATGACATACGAGCTAAAACTACGCGTTTTACAGTATTAATCACCCACGCCAACATTACCAAAGCGTTACTATGATTTCTGCTTGAAAATTGCACATAAGTTCATGCTATATAGTAAACTGTGGAGACTGGCTAGTTGCTATGACAACTGATACCACTACAAAGAGTAAACCGTCATGTATTCAGTATATCAGCAGACTAGACTGTGCAGTTGATGTATGGTTTCAACACCATGATACTTACTAAAATATAATTGCTGAAACAGTTTCCAGCAAAATAGAAATATAAGAAATTCCTATGTTATAATCAACTGGGACATGCAGTACATTCTTCTCTTCTTTTGATGATATTATACAGATAGATTACAAAAATAATTTACAATTAATGACAACAGGAGAATACCATCTGGTTTTTGTTTAACCTTTTCGACTCCATCTTTTGTCACCTTTCAAAAAAAAAAAACTGTAAGTGATTCCATATTTCTGATATTTTGATCAGGACCTGTATACAATGAAAAATTATATCAATTTTGTTAAAAATTAACAGTTATAGTTGAATACATAAATCAGAAATATGAAATGTTGCATTAACATTTTTGAGGAAATAATTACATGTGTGATTATTAATGTAAAATTACATTTTGTTGTAGTTTGAAGAAGTATTGAATTTTAAGATGGACACAGCTAACATTTGTGACATAGGAATTTCCTGAAATTATTTTCTGGCTATTTCAAAATCAGGATAAACATTTTTTTTTTTGGATTTCGACAACTTTTGAACTGAAAATGGCTGTCAGAGTGTTATAAGTAAGCCATGGACTGAAATCATTTCAAGTGTACCCGCTTTTCATTAATGCTTCAGTGAAAGTACATGCTTCAAAGATTGGGAATTTTTCCAAGATCAAATAGATTTTTAAATTTAAAATAAAATAAGTTTATAAAAAAAAAAAAAAACTGCAGACCCTACCATGTAGAGTCCTACTACAGTAGTACAGGGTAACTCATGATGTTGAAAATGACAAAGAATAAAGGACAACATTTAATTTTCTGTCTAATTTCATCGCTTACTTTAGGCAATGATAAAGCAATCACCTCTATCAACTGGCGATCAGAATAATTTTCTTCTCTATTTATTTACCTAATTAGAACCGACAAATTTCTCTATTACTATTTAATGACTGAGAATTATCCCTGATTTCATTCCTAATTGCTGAAATAAATGGGTTTATTTATTAAAGTTGACAGATTGCAGGCATATTTCAGTACCTAATTGCTTTTCAAAGCTGCAATACTTGCCTACTCGGTTTGTTCATAGCTGCTGCCTTGTGAAATCCCGTCTTCCCAAAAATGTTTTTAACATTTCTTGAAAGTCTATTCTGCTACCTCTTGCTTTTCATATGTTTTGAAGGTACTTTCACTTTTGGGGCAAGTTTGGATCATCTGTTGCTTTTAAGCATTAACCTTTTCACCCCCAGACTTTCTCGGCCAATTTTTTCTGCACTTTTTTTCCTATATTTTTCAATATTTCTGAAAATGAGCCCTAATTTTGGAGCCAACAGACAAAATTTCAGTAAATTTTCAGGTTTTACTCAAAAAAATTGTCATTTTTTGTCCTAATCTTATGAAAGAAAATGCTGACTATAAATAGGACTATTTTGTGAACTTGTGATGAAAAGAGAGAACTGGTAGTGAAAAGGTTAAAGGTGATTCTCAGTGAACAATCAAATTCAAATCCTACTAAATGTAA